TTAGTCCCTGCTAGAAAATTACATTTTGTATTTATTTTATGGACAGTGAATTACAAATTCTTTTTTCTTGACTCCCACACATGCAGTATTTGCCCCAGAAGCTAAAATAGGGAATTTCTTTCAGCTTCTGTGCTGCAAAGTTGTTTTTGTTGCTTCCAGTGTTTTTATGAGTCATCTTTGTAGTCAAAGAATAGGTATTCAGATATTGAAATTCCAAAGGCATTGATACTCTAAAAGCAAAGGCAGATTTAAAATGCAGCAATATATAACAAGACTTGGAGGAGTTATGAAAAAAAAATAGAAAAAAAAAATCCTCAAGATTGACAGGGTGATAGCTCTAGTGGATCTTTCTCAGTGAAGTGTTGAACCTTCTCCCCCCTTTTTCAAATACCAGATCATACAGAAAGAAATTAAAATAATATTGTAGGAAAATTCACATTTAATTATCTACATTTAATTGTGATACTCAGTACTCTCACTACATTACTGAACAGATATTTCATACTTTAAGCCATGGCATTTGACCCTTTCTTGTTAAGTCTCATTCAGACTTTCAGTAAGACTCCTGGCTGCCCTTATCAGTGGTGCATGGTGTGAACAATCTTACAAGGGATTTGTGGCAGACAAGCTCTCCTGACCACAACAGTGGAAATCAGGAAGAGTCCCCTGAGGATGTATTTTTCCTCTTCTTTCTCCAGGAAACAAAAGCAAAGCATTTCCTCCTATGTCCAAGAATATCAGCAAACCAGGCTTTTTGTTCTTGTATGTTTTGGATGAAAGACTGGGTTTAGGAACCAACTTAAAACATAAGAAGTTAAATTCTTACTTCCTTCAGGAATGTTCACTGCCTACAGAAGTATTCACACTAATGGTCCTACTGAGATTTGTTAAAGACATTTAGTGCTGGCATTCTAGAGTATTTTATACCTAAGTTTAAAAAAGCTGCAGAACCTCCCATCTAATAAAACAAACCACAGAACAGCTAGGTGGTGTAGTTTGTTTGGGGTTTTTCTTTGGACTGCCACTATTCCTAGACAAACAAAACTTCTAGGTAAGTATCTACTTAAGTGCTGACCTATAATTCTGCAATTGCATCCATCTAGCAAGACAGTGATATGCTCCACTGACAAGGTTGATGGCAATTCTTTTGCCCAGTAAAAGTTAGTTAAGATGAAATTACAGTCCATTTTGCTGCAGTTTGCTAAATTAACTTCTGAGCAAAAAATAATAATAACTAGAAATAAAGATTCAAGCAAAATTGTTTGTTCTTGTTTATAGTTAACAGATTAATTTATATGAATGAAGTTTAAATTGTCACTGACAGCATTTCAGGAAAAAGGAATTAAGCTAAATTGAATGCAGAATCAGGACCAACAATTATGGAACATAAGTAATGTTTGGGTCCAGAAGTCTCTTCCTGTTACACAATTTGAAACTCTAAATGGTCTCCAGTCTTTTTTGGGATGATGATGTGTCTCCTTTGACCCTTCCACAATGCAAGTGCTGGAGTGATTTGATGTAGCCATCAAAACTAGTGCAGATGAACAAGATCTAGTGGAAGGCAACCATTAAACATGACAACACAGAGTCACAGATGTGAAACCTGATTTGTTTTAATAGAGAACTATTACAAAAAATATAATTAAGTTCTTCTCAGAAAGAGTTCCAACAGTCTCTCATATTGTTAGGTTTTGACAAACTAGAGGCTTTTGTGACTTGAAAATGCTCAAGAAGTAACAGTTAAATATAGAAACACTGTAAGATTCCTGGTAAGAACAAGTCAGTAAATCAGAGCAGCGGAAGCCAAATATTGATGATGACAGATTTACAAGGAGGAAAACACAAATTTTCAGAAGACGAAAAAGAAAAGGATCAGTTACAGCATGACAGCAATAAATTCTTTATCTTCTGCATACTTGAGCCATCCTACAAGACTGTGAAAGAGCTTGATTAAAGCTGCAAATGTAGCCAGTTCACAGGTGAGTACACCAGATTAGTTTTTTGAATAAGACTTCGAAAACTCTAAACTGTTTAATTTTCACTGAATTAAGCAATAGTCAGACTCTGAGACAGAACATATACATTTGCCATATGACTAGAAATACACTGGTGCTTCTTGGCTTTTAATATAAAAAGACTGCAGGGGTAACACTAAAAGGAAGGAACCTGAAAAAAAGAGTCCTCTAACAACTGCAGTAAGATTCTCTCTTCCCACAACTGTAATCATAAAGCTAGAAGACTCAAATTCAAGCTTTCTTGTTTTGTGAGGACATAACTTCTACTTGCTCACAATTTGAGAGGAAAACAAGAAACTGCATTTTCAATGCTCTTGAATAAGAGTTTGCACCTATGTAAATAAACCTTCAGCTACTTAGTCCAAATGATGAGACTAGGAATATGAACTCCTTCAGGAAAAGAAAGAATTCTGAACAATTTTTATCATGGCTTCTCTTTGGTCTAAGCATCTCAAAGAAATTTTTACATTTCAAAGATGATAAGAATCACTTTATACAGAAGCACCACTTACCCACAATAACAAATCCATCTGCTTCTCTTTCTGGCACTGTAACCTTCTTTGAATCTTGACTTTTTCGGAAGAAACTGAACATAGCCTCTTTTGTTTTTTCTTCTAAGTCGTTATCTAAAATGAAGACAAAATATGTTAAATAAATAAAAGGTAAAAGAGTTTATCATAAGAAGTTCACACCATGCCAAATGCTGCATACATGATATTACAGTTCAATCTTTATTACCTGATTTGAAATATCGGGCATTTTTCCGTTGGACAGATTACCTTGTTGATGTAGCCACTGACTTCAACAGGCAAAAAGAGAGTATAAAAGGCTTTTCTATAAAGTTATGAATGGAGTGGAACCATTAAAAAAACCCCCAAACAACAAACTACAACCTTTGTGAAAGAAGGAAACTCCCTTCAACATTTAACCTGCACATTTTCATATTTTCCTGCTACTTTGAATTGTTGTTACACAAACTTTCTCAGAGTTAGTTCTAAAGCATCTAAACTTCAAAGCCCAAAATATGATCCTATAGAAAATGCAGCTTTATAATGCAGGAATACTTGAATAAAGCAGATTTCACAGGAGATTTTTTAGTCTTAAGTGTCTGTGCACCAATTAAAAAGACCAACCCACTGACCTCTACAATATTAGCATCGTATCTATTTTCATTTTTCCAGTCTGCAGTCTTAGAGACAGCTTAACACTTGGGTGTATTTGATTAACAGTGACCACTGATTCCCTTAAAAGAAACTACAGCAAAATCATGTTGAAAATTTTTTCATAACAATGATTCATTAAAAGAATCTTCCAAAGCAGACAAGAGTTCACAACAGCTCAAACAAAATAAGGAAAGCAGTGGGATAAAAACATTTAACTGCAAAATATTACGCTCAGTATCTTTTCTCTCTCAAGACTGGAAGATTACATAAAGGCAATTCTGAGTATCTTTAAAAGGACAAATTCATATTAATAACCTCATGAGCGTCAGCCAAAAGTTGGTCCAGCTTTTACAAAATTAGGACAAACACAGATACAACCTGAAACATTTTTCTATGCAAACCTTTTTCTAAGCAAATTCTCTATTTGTTCTAAACTTTTAAGATGTAGACTCAAGGAAGTTTCTTTTATTCCAAGAAAAGTTATAAGAAAAGCTTTGTAAGGAAGCATCACTCTTTTGAAGAACAACAGAACTATGCAAAGCATGTAGTCACAGGTTCAGCTTATTTAGAGGACTGCCAACGTACCACCACCTGCCTTCTATTTTCTGCCTAAATGGCACCATTGAATGCAGCAACTGAGAGTCTCCCCAGCCTCCTTCTAGAACAGCAGCTCTATCCATAGCGCTGGGACAAGAAGAGGAAAGAGGCACTGCAGAAGCCCCTGAAGGTGTGCTCACCTCCAGCCCTCAAAGGCTGAACTCGGACCACTGGACAACAACCAACCTATGGTTCAGCCTGGTGTCTGGCTGAAACACACCGTGTGTCAAACAGGAAGGTTTAAAAAAAGGTATTAAAAAAGAAAGATCTTCTCTGCTAAGATACCAATATGAAATTGGGAAAAGTGGAACGCTGTCATTTCAAGTTTGAAGGAGAGTTTGAGGGACAAAATCCTGATTTACTTTGCAGATGCCAACATTTAAAGGAGAAGGGACTGACAAACCAATAGCAATGTCTTATATACACCTCCAATAGAACAAAGGAGTCCAGTCTAAAGAAAGAGGTGTACAGTGTCAAGTTTCAATAACATTATTTCACACTAAGTTTAAAACCAAAAAATCTTTAGAAGGTGGGAAAGAGAGAAGAGTGCTACTATGTAGTGTTTGGATTAAAAAAAAAAAAAAAAAAAAAAAATAAAAAAAAAAAAAAAAAAAAAGAAAGAAACATAAAAATCCTGGATTAATTATTTGCCAGAATTCCTTACTTCCCACCCAAATATTCATGGTATCATAAGCAGGAATTTTTTTTTCCCTAGCCAGAGACCTGTAGCAATTAACTGCACAATCAGCATTGACTATATACCAGACATAAACTGCCTCACACTCTGCTGTCAGAAGCAACAGCAAACACTTCCATACTCCAGATCACAGAAAGTCCTATATGAAGTGGAAGCACTGGCTTTCAGGAACAGTATATAAATAGAACATGGCAAAAGCAGCAACGATTCAAACTGTGGCCTGATACCTGAGACTTAAAGACTGAATACCCCGAAGGCTGGCCAGTTACTGCTTGCTTATGCTGACACAGTACAATTTCCAGTGACCAAATAAACTACACTGATGTACGCAAGAACAGAACAAACCATCCAATTCCAGGTATGCAGTAACTTAAAAAAATGTTACTTATCTGCAATTTATTCCTTTTTCCTTGTTTTCCTACCTTACCATGTGAAATACTGATATTTCCAGTTCCGTAGAGATTACGCAGTAGAAACTTCTAATTATCTCATTTATTCCTTACCTTCCCCCACACCCAGGCTCAACACATGGCGCCAGCAGCATATTCCTTTTTCAGCCCTCGGGGAATAAGTCTTCTCCTGCTACCAATTAGGCTTGTCAGTCCCATAGCTCAAGTGGTAAAAACCTGTGCTGTAATGCTCAAGAGTCAGGTTTCTGCTCCAATGATGTATGAAGGAGAGGCAGTTGTGGAACAGTTTAAAATGCAATTTTACCTTCATCCTAAGTGTGCAACAACAAGAAGCAAAATCAACTTGATGTGCAAAATTTTACAGATAGCTTTGGTTAAGGCTCAGATTCCAGTAAACCACTTCAGATACCAGACTGGCTGTTGCTCCAGTCACATTTTCTTCTCTTTGAGATCTGCATTATTGTACAGGTTTCAGCTCTATCACATAGCGTTCCCCTTCCTTTCTCTCTTTCACAAAGAAAAGCATCTTAAACGGTATGTATGTGGCACAAAAGAGTTTTATAGGAAACCATGCATTTGTCATCTTTTAAATCCTGCATATTTAACATACCTAAACCTCACTCCTTAAAGGACAACAGACATTTCAGTTCAGAGTAAATTAAGTACAATCTGATCTAGTCAAATTAATGTTACAAGCGCTTTCACATAGTAGATTTTTTTCCTTTCATTGACAAAAGGCAGCCTGAGTATCCCAATTTTTTCTAAAACCCCAAAAATTCATCTTATCGACATACATAAGGGTTGATTTCTATTTTGCAGTTTTCAGTTTCTGAAGTAGCTTAAACTTAATTCCACTGCCAGCAATATTTCTCAAACAGAAAACAAAACAAAAAAATCTCACACATTCTTTTGCTTGAAGCAGAACAACAAAGCTAACAAAAAGTATCCCCTAAGCTCAGTCCTCAACTTCTTACAATGTTAGAACCACTGGTCCAACAGTAAGAAAATAGCGTAGGTTGTATCTTGTGATTGTGAATGTTGGGGAGGTGGTAAGCAACCTACATATTAAAAAGACCAATGTGCTTAGTGAGGCCGTTTCCTTCTTTGAGTGTTCACCACCTAGAAACAAAACTTGTGCTTGTAGATCTCAGGTCTGTGTAACTAATGTGGAGGACGGAGCTCACCAACTACTACTTACAGGATTTCAGTACTGTTGCTGAACACAGTATTAAGTTTAAACTAAATCATAAAGAACAACTAACAATATAGAAGTGGGGCACAGAAACAAAAAGTAGAACTGTATACAGTATGGCATAGGTAAAGGAGAAGCTGTAGACAGGCAATGCTGGGACATTTGCGATATTTGCTTTCTTAAGAATTTTATCAACTGTGGTACTTCAAAAGTAGACATAAATCTCCCCAACAACGGGAAATGCAACCACTAAATTTCTTGAATTACATGTTAAAAACAGAACAAAGCCCCTGTCCAACAAAGAAACACAGAGCTGAATGGAAACACTCGTGCTCTTGAAGATAAGAACACAGTTTAAGCATTTGCAGAATCAGGCTGGAGTTTTACTACTTGTAGATAAGATGAGGTTTCAGTTAACGCAAGCTGAGAACAACCAGTTTCCACACAAGTTTCATTTCAGAGTAAAATTAAATTTGAAGTTTGTGGACCTGGATGCATGGTCACACAGACTAGAGAAAAAAGCACTTCGTTGTGTGGGTTTTTTTAAAAGCTGTCAGCACAAAATCACAGAAAATACACCCACCATTCAGAGATAGTAGCACGTTCCTGCCGTAATTTCTCCTATACAGCACAGCACTATTCCCTTCCAGATGGGATTAATTTTATTTCTATAGGAGACCTGAAATTGAATTCACTGCCTAAAGATAAAAATCTCCCTTGGTAGGAATATGCAATTCCCTTCTCCTCATGTTTCCACCTCACCAAAAAGCGAACACAATTTTTTCCTTTCTCCAATCCCAACTGCCCATAGTTAAGAATAATGCTTTTGGCACTGCTTCAGTCATTAGCAAGTAATAAACTGAACTACAGCAATTCTGTGAGGATGCAAAAAATATTTTGTCTTTCTGTAAGACTCCGAGAACATTCATGGTATTGGACAAAGACGAGTTACAGAGCTGTACAAAGAGGTTAATGTATTCCTCCTGCATTTTGTCAGTCTCCTTTGACAAGAAGTATGGGTGACCTTTAAGCCAAACCAATACTTTAAATCCAATAAAATTTTTCTATACAATAAAGATCCTGGCATATTTAGCATTAGTTTTCAGCTTTTTTCTGCATGTTCACAAGTGACAGGAGGAGAAAGGTAATTTAATATTAAAAACACCAAAGACGCAGACTAAGATAAAGAGAGGATCCCCAGGAATACAGCAAAACAGAATTGCAGTGGCACTGCTGGTAATTACATAATTAATGAAATAAGGTCAGAACAAGATATAAAACCAACCTTAAATAAAAAAGCAGAATAATTTCACATCTAGCAGTTTTAACCCATATAATCTATGGAAGGAAAAAACAGAGCATCAGAGCAATTCTCCCTTCCATATTAGCATCTGCTGTGATTCACCAATAAGGTAGCAATCAGAAAAAGAGAAAGATGGTTACAGCCCTGTACAGCCCTGCTTATGACATGAAAACAACCAGTTTAAGAGTCAAGAACATACATGTTGAAAAGACTTTTGTGTGACACCAAAAGAACAGTTTAAAAGCTTTTGGCCTAGTCTAAGTTACTATGTGAAGGAAAAAAAACCCAACATAGCATTTCTTTCATCTGGCATTAACATTAGTCATATTCCCTTAGTTTGTGCTTCTTGAAAACAGAAGAGCCACGAGAAACACAAGTACAAAAAAGGCACATACATACAACAAAACACTATCAAAGGCTTTTTTACTTACATAAAATGTGAATATTTATTTTTAAAGTTTTCGGGAAGCAGACGTACCAAGAACTATGCAATCCAAATCACCATAGTATAAAAAACACTCACAGATGTTGAATCTTGAAAAATCCACCACAATCAAGTAGGACAATAAAAGCATAGGTGAGAGGGGCAAAGCCAGGAGTGAAATAACAGTACTCAAAAAGATGTCAACACTGAAAACCCTGAAGAAGATAGAAAATGCTAAAATAGAAAGCTAGATGTTTATTAGATCAAATACTCAGTAGGCTGGAACCTACTTTTTTCCCTGCAAACAGTTCTCTTGACTGCAAACCTTCAACAGCTGCTAAGCATGATACAAACACTTATTTGTAAGCATGTCTACAGTTGTGTTTTTCTAACAGCTGACCCTTCAGATGTGGCAGACAAATAGCTCTAGAAGAGCCACTCTGGAGCAGCCAGAACTGCCCCTTGCTCCAACAGTTACATTATGAGACATCTCCTTTAAAATCTCTGAAGATATACTAAAAAGATGGCAATATTCTCTTGCAAATAAACATCTGAAAAGGTGAATGGCATAGTGACACTGTGGAGATGACAACCAGCTAGACACCAGCAAAGACATAAACCTAGAACACTCCTCTTCCCAGCAACATGCTGGTTTTGCACAGCTGCTGGCAGCAGCTTGCTTCCTTGGCAAGCTGGCTCAGTTTGCTGAGTCATCACAACACTGACCCGGCCAGCTAACAAAAACCACTTTGTGCTGGTTAGCAAACTGAACTAACCCACAGCTGGTTAGAAGAGACCGCCAGCACCTAGGCAATTTTGGGATTGCCCTTTTAAGCTGGAGCAGTTAGATTTTCTCAAGTATTTCCTGAAAAAACGGTCCTGGAAATGGAAAGGAAATCACAGAACCACAGGATGGGTGAGGTTGGAAGGGATCTCCGGAGGTCCCTGCTTAAGCAGGGCCATGTCCAGACAACCTCCCTGGCCAGCCTGTGCTAATGCTCAGTCACTCTCACAGCAAAAAACGTGCTCCCTGATGTTCAGGGGTAAACTCCTGTGTTTCAGTTTGTGCCCACTGTCTCTGGTCCTGTCACTGGGCACACTGAAAAAAGCCTGGCTTCATCCTCTTTGTGCCCTCCTTTCAGGTATTTATATTCATTAATAAGATCCCCCGAGCCTTCTCTTCTCTCAGCTCAGCAGTCCCAGCTCTCTCAAGTCTTTCCTCACATGTAAAATGGTTCAGAGCCTTAATCTTCATTGTGGCCCTTCGCTGGACTCTCTCCAGTATGTCCATGTCTCTTGTACCCAGAACTTAGACCGGGTGCAGCCTCACCTGTGCTGAGTAGAGGGGAAGGATCACCTCCGTCAACCTGCTAGCAACGCTAGGTCAAATGCAGCGCAGGATACCATTAGCTGGCTTTGCCGCAAGAGCAATGGGGAGGAACCTCTCCATGCAAAGGACAGTTGGGGAAAACACAAGGAAAAAGGCAAGACATATAGTGAGAGTGCCACATTCAGAAGCTGGCTCTGTCTTAACGTCCATCAGTTGCTCTCATTCTGGGGATCAAGCATAAGCTATTAAATGGTCAAATTAAATGAAATTAATAGAATAGAACATAATAGTTCAGTTGGAAGGGACCTACAATGATCATCTAGTCCAACTGCCTGACCACTTCAAGGCTGACCAAAAGTTAAAGCACGTTATTAAGGGCATGTCCAAATGCCTCTTAACACCGATAGGCTTGGCACCTTGACCACCTCTCCAGGAAGCCTGTTCCAGTGTTTTAGTACCCTCTTGGTAAAGAAATGCTTCCTAATGCCCAGTCTAAACCTTCTCCTGGTGCAGCTTTGAGCTGTTCCCATGCATCCTGTCACTGGATACGAGGGAGAAGAGCTCAGCGCCCCCCTCTCTACTTCCCATCCTCTGGAAGCTGTAGAGAGCAACGAGGTCACCCCTCAGCCTCCCTTTCTCCAAACTAGACAAGCCCTAAGTGCTCAGCCGTTCATCTTAGGACGTTCCTTCCAGCCCTTTCACCAGCTTCCATACCCTCCTCTGGATGTAACTGCAGTGCACAGAACTCCACACAGTACAGGTAAGGATGCACCAAATCAAGGCGGGGATGCACCAACACTGCATACAGCAGGATAATCACCAGTTTTGATCGACTGGTTACATGCTGTGTTTGATGCACCCCAGGATGCGGTTTGACCTCCTGAATGCCACGGCACACTGACTCCTTCCATTGAGCCTACTGTCAACCAGCACCACCAGGTCCCTTTCTGCAGGGTTTTTCTCCAGCCACTTTTATCCCAATCTATACTTGCGTCTGTGAAAACGCAGCTGTAACACTCAGCGTTTTGAGTATCTACTACAGCCTGTAAAACACCGGGTTAACAGACCGGTGACGGGAATGCTTGGCTTGGCTTGGGCAACGGTGACCTGAGGGGAGTCAGGATCTAAAGGAAGAGGCAAAACGGCCGTTAGGGAAGGAAAATATGGGGTAATTTAAGGGAAAAGGAGTAAATGACAGGGAAAGGGCAGGTCGGGCCGCAGCGGGGAGGCCGGCGGGAGGCCGAGCCCCTGTCTCTT